GGGGGTAAGCACACTTTGAGCATGAGCAACAACTAAAGGCTTCACAAAGAAAGCAGCGTAACTCACGTCTTTGCTGTTGATTTTCTTGATGAACTCCTCCGAAGGTTTCCCCACCAGGCACAGGATCTTGTTCAGCTGGTCGATGTCTCGCAACCGGGTCAAAGAAACATCAACGATCAACGATTTGTCCACATATCATAAATAAATACATCGCAGAATAAAAAATAGCATTTGCATAGCATGTCATACTCCCGCTCTATAGTAAGCTCAAAGCGTTTTACAATCTATATGTGTCACAACGCGCTGGAATCAGGCGAACGTCAATTTTTGGGTTTGTGGAGTTATTGGTATCATCTGAAAGCTGATTTATTTACCTGGCTTCAAATGAAACAAATATCCATTTATCTTGAATAGAACTCAAGATATCAGCGATTGAAGGAAGTGAGGTCGCCTGGTTTTAGTGGTGAAATTAGAGAAAAAATGGCCAACAAAGTTTGGTAACTCCAATAGCTAAACAGTCTTTGAAAACTGATCAATGTTTTTCAGTAAAATTCACATGAAAAATGTGTTTATATAGGGACATGAAAGAGGTTAAGCCAAAAATTTTTTTTTAATATTAAAATTTCCAAACTCGCGGAAACATGCCTGTTTCACCGATTTCGTTATTTCGACGAGCGCCTGATTTGACCACGCTGCCTCACATATTATTACCCCAGCAGGACCTAGAACTCTCAGAGACACCTTTCCCTTCCTGGGAAGCATACAGTGCAAGCAGCGGCCAATTATGAGCTCAAACATAAATAAACTGACAACATCTTTCATTGTCTATATCTGTGTACCCAATCCCACCTGGGTGAAAAGAGGCAAATTCACGTAAAGTGCCTATCCCAAGGACACATCATTGGGCCCTTGACAAGGTTCCAGCCCACGAACTTTTGGTTGCTAGCCCTACAGCCTAACCACTAGACCACTGACAACAGCCTAACCACTAGACCACTGACAACAGCCTAACCACTAGACCACTGACAACAGCCTAACCACTAGACCAC